GAAAAGCAATGAGCCATTTTTTAGAGCAGGGAGAACATGCATTTTGAGATCCAATAGATCATCTAAATTGGTCCGAAACCAAGTTTTAAAGTGGCATTGCAAAGACTTTTGCTTTGAATAAATTTAGCATTACAAAACTTGGAATATAAATAAAATAGATTTGCTGATTGTTTTATACTGAACTAATATTCTGATTAAGTAGGAAAAGAAGTGCTTAACAGATATGACCCTTTCTGAGTAGTCCAACTACAGAACTTAAAAATGCTAAACTAACATCTATGCCCTTTCAGTTACTTGCATCTAGCTTTTTATTATGAATCAATTTTATGCATTTCTATGTAATGTGAACTTTAAACTCTTGTTCTTTATTTTCTGACCTCTGTATGTTTGAAATTTGGATTAGTGAATCTAAAATTTCTCACTCGCCTGACTTCCTGCAGCTCACTTCTAGACCGACAATAGCTCTAGACTGCCACATCATATATTTTCAATCCAAACCTTGTCTTCTCAATAGCTTACCTTGCAGCCAAAACAAGCCTGTGTGGGTCCACTTAAGGTGAACACCTCATGGTTTCAGAGCTGCAGAAGAAAACAGCATCAGAGAAATCGCCTCTCTTCAGGGAAACCTGTCTTTGTAATATCAAATGATTACACTCTCCTTATCTTAGTTCTCTGCATGAAATTATAACATCATTCTAATGGTTTGCAGACCTTGCAAAGGTTCTCCATGCCTGTGCTGTCACCTCTGCGTGCTTTCTGTGCTGCATACCATTTTTCTCTGTCTGGGTGGAGCGGAAGGGCCAATGTAGAAGTAGGTCTATAGCAGTATTTTTAGTACCTCCTCTCCTGAACTCATTTTGATGTGTTAACCAGCCTTCTACAAAACTGAAATATTTCACTAAGAACAAACTCCTTGGTTTGTTCTCATACCCCACGCTTGAATTACAAACTAGCCTTCAATAATACGAGGCTCACATTAAAACAAATAACAAAACTGCCTGTCTCTTGGTCTTTAACGTATGTGTGATGTATGATGAAATCTTTCACCCCAAAATATCCCTGTCTAGTATTCTATGCTGTGTTGCCCATGAGCTCAGTGATTCATTTGTAACTGCATTTCTGAACCAGAATGTGGAAACAGGTGTGATTTCATGGAAGTGGTCACTGAAGGGACCAATACGTGCAAAGTGCAGCTCTTGCAATACAGATGATTAAACCCAAATATATTCAGTTGCTTCAGTGAACTGTGATGTCTACTACCTTATTACAAAGCCACCTTTTATTACAAAGGTGTTAAGAGTTTCTTTGGCATTAGTGAATGAAGTTCTGCCCCTTACTCCCACAGTATATTTTAGATTAGACAAAGAAATTTATAAGCATTTAAAACTAATGATACACATTCCAGTTCAGTTTAATTTCTGTTCCTCCCCACCCTTTTTACAGTTCTTTATTTGTCTATGCAACTTAGCACACCCTTTCATACCCTTTTTTTTTTAAAACATTCTCATAGGAATAATATTATTTGCTCTTTCCATTTCAATGAAATGTATATTTTTTTATTTTGCTAATTACCAAGGTCAGCAAAGATTACATGCATCATAAATACATATTTTGAACCCTTTACATTCTACAGTCAGTATCTTTATATTCTTGAATTATTACAGTATTAATTCCTAATTGTTTTGATCGTTTCTACTATATAAAAAGCTACACCATTAGAACCTGCAAAACTTCATTTTCCAGCTTGCAATTTCACCTTAGGGTTTCACCTCAGGGTTTCACCTCCACTTCACCATCACACTGCTGTAAAACAGCTTAAGCATTTGCTTTATTACAGTCTATTGTTGTATTTTAATTTAAGGAAGCAGTGATGAGATCTCTTTGAATATCTTTTTGGAAATTCTTGAGAGCCGATAGTCTGTGTGGTATATTGGAAGTTCTCAAAGACTGCATCAGTGAGCATCTTGATAGTGACTGCTTCCTTTCCTCTTCACAGTGTGAAAAGTAACTCCTTTTCCATTTGGAATCATACCTTACCTTGTGGTAACTGCTCCAGGCAGTGCTTATGTAGAACAGTGTTATTAACAAAGGAACAAGAAATTTGAAGCTGTGAAGTAGGATTGTGAAATCTATTTTAAAAAGTTGCTTTCCTTTCAGGCTCTTTGTTTCTTCCCCTATTTTGACTTTTTTTGTATGTTTCTACGTGGATCTGTATTCATATGCCTACTACTGTGGCCATGTCTGTCTGTCTCCATTGTGCGTACTTTCCTGTTTCTTGATCATACTCCTCAAAGAGACAGTTCCCTCCCTTCTCCATTTCATTGAATGGGTACCTTGTGATTTAGACTTTTCCTTTTTCTTTCCACTTTTTTCCTTATTTCACAAAAAGTTTTTCATGTTTTTGGTGACAATATTTATGCTGCTGTCATTGAATGTGGTTGCTGCTTCTTCCAGCCACCCCCGCCCCATACTGGAGGAGAGTCAGCTATTTTTTGTTCCTTATTTCCAAATGCTTTTATGAGTACCCAAGCTTTTAATTGCAATTAGCAGTAGAGCTGTTTATAGAAACAACTGTATACAAATAGTAACCAGTATCAAGTTATCTATGGATTTTTTCCAGACCACCATCGAGTATTTGCCTGACCATAATTTGGGAACCGTTTGAATTGTGTTAAGAGAACAATAAAACTGCGTGCTTGAGCTTTTATAAAGCGAGAAATGAGAAAATTGAGGCTACATACACCTTCTGGGCTGTTAGAATGCTTTTGATCTTTTTTTCCCTTTATTTAAATTGTTTTATTTTAGATTTTCTAAAGGAAAAAAGCTGTTATGTAATGCACAGCAGTTTGGTGAGGTTCTTTATTAAGACATTTCTGCTTAAGAAAATCCTTAGAATATCCCTTATTTTGGTTGACAGGGATTTGTGCATATTACAGCAAAGTACGGTAGGGCCCATATGTTAAGAGACATATGCAATATACACTGGAGAAAAGTGAAGAACCTTATCATTTCCCTATTTGCCATGTCTTTGTTAAATAATTGTCTTTCTAGATTGCTGACCTGTGCCCAAACCTCTGTTGAGATTGTGGTATCTGATTGCCAACTTCATATCTTTAATAGGCAAATTAAATATAGGATACAGAACACTATTTTCAATGAGTTACATATTTCATAGGTCAAGGTGATTTTCGAGTCCTTTATGCATGTGTCAAGTTAGGACTTTTTTAACGCTATTTCATGCTTTGACCATTCTGCTTTTTTTCATTGGTGCTAAAAGTGCTTTCATTTTTTTACTACATTTTAACAAGTAGAATAATCTCTTATTCCTAGATGAAGCTGGAAAATCTACATAGGGAAAAAAAAAACAAACAACAAATCCAAAATAGTTAAGTGACAATAAAAGGGGAATTAGAAAAATTAATGTTAATGACCTTTACTAAAACCAAAACATGTTTGATTTACTTGCTGTAGGTTGATGCCTTGCGATTACGATTGGAAGAAAAAGAAACCTTTCTGAATAAAAAAACAAAACAACTTCAAGACCTCACAGAAGAGAAGGGAACCCTGGCTGGAGAGATCCGAGATATGAAAGACATGTTGGAAGTAAAAGAAAGAAAAATTAATGTCCTTCAGAAAAAGGTAAGAGCACTGATGAAAGGCTACATTGTGAAATTTTTGAGGAACATTTAAATGAAATATATTTATTTCATATACCATATTCATTTTAATATGTTAAAAAATGCAAGGAGTAAGTCTCTAATAGTCAAGTAGTTCTGTAATAAAATGTGTTATTCCTTCCCATGGGATTATTTTTGTAGTATTATAACGTAATTATATAATGTCACAAAAATATTAGGTAGCACAGTTTCCGCAAAATTATTTGAACTAAATGAAAGTCCTAAAAATTCTGACAAAACTTCTTATTCCTCAACATGAGGGATTCTGTTATCCTTACTAACAGTGATTACTTCTCTTTCTAAATAATGTAAATGGAATGTGTGGGACTGCTCAAAGATTAGGATGCTGCTTTTTTTTCTTTAAAGACTTTCTTCTGGGGGGTGGGAAAGAAACCTAAATTAAGTTAGTTATCTGCTTTTCCTGTGAGTTAAAGATGTTAAGAAGGGAGGCTCTCTCTGAACAGCCTTATTAGTCTTATTTGTAATTTTCCACAAATTTAGCTAACTGCATTTACTCCCTTTGGGAAGTTGAATTTAAGCATTATAGTTTCCACTTGGGGGTGGGAAGGGAGTTTCCTGGAATGAAAGCTTGCAAATGTTCCGTGTACAGTAGTAGAACGTGAGTGTTTATTTACTGTAACCCTTTTCTCACACTCACAAAAATGTTTATGCTAGCAGGTATGTTCTCTGTGTGCCATGTGTATCACTCTTCATTGTATATAGATGCACTTGTGAGCGTACAGATAAATGGGGAAAAAGTTCCTGGCATCAAATACATTTTACTATTACTTCTCCCCTTCTCTCACAGCCACTTAAAAGAATGTCTACTCCTTACTCTCTATTATTATGTAGGTAGTTCATATTACTGTGGTTTTTCTCCAGGATTCATATAGGGTTCGCATGGTCTAGCTCTGCTTCTGTCTGCAATTGGTTAAATACAGTCTTTAAAAAGCCAAGTCCTTATTTTCCAGAAACTGAGAAGACTGCTTTTTCAGGCCCAGGAAGTAAAGCCTATCAAAACTGCAATATCTTCAATCTTATTTCTGAATGTTTGCCTTGTTAGCAAAGTTGATGATGTAAAGATAGAAACTTCAAGCCCTTTGCCCTGTGCTGAATGCTAATTAGCTTTGAATATCACTTGAGAGTTTTGAAGAAAAGAGTGCATCTTTAAAAAGCCCTTAAACACACGAACAATGTGCAGTTTGTCTTGTATTTAGATCTTCAGGAAATGGATCAGTAGGAGGAATGTGGATTCAGTGATCAAAATAGTGTGATGAATAGAACTTATCACAGAGCTGTCAGCACTCTCTGTCATGGCAGTGTGCTCAGAAATATTCAGCATAATGTGTTTTTTCTGGTTTTACTATATTGTGGCAAATTTTTATGGGCTTGCAGATGGTCTTGCCTCTTTTGCACCTGTTTCTTAATGAAAATAATCACTCTCAAACTTCACTATCTCTCTTCACTAAATCATAAATACAAGTTATAGCCTTGTGAGTCCTAGTATACAATATGATAAATAAATCGGTCTAACTATTAGGTGCAAAATCAGAGTTGGTTCTAAAGTGATTCTTTAAAACTGAAGTAGCACCTGAATTTTTCTTTCTTTTGAGGTTTTTATTCTGGTAAATATGCTTCATCAGGATCTTCTGAAGTTCAGGTTTTTTTGCTATGGACTAAATACTGGGTTTACTTGGAGAAGAATGAATTCTGACAATTACTTAAAAGAAGAACAGTCATTTACGTAATGTAAAAGTTATGTGTTGATTTGCTTTTCAGAAGCATTTTTAATAAACACATTATCTTAGTATGTAGATGTTAGCATGCTCAAAAGTGCTAGTATTAGGTCATCATTACACATAATTTATGGGAAAAGAATATAATATTTGGAAAATACATTTTTAAAATTACCGTTAGGTTACATTTTCAGCTTTTACTTGTGCCTTACTTCAAATATAGTTTGGAGATAAATTCACTCACAGATAATTTGACTAGAGACAAATTTGATTGAAATATTGTCCTGCTCTACTTTCTCCTGTTATTTAAGTAAATCTAGAGTATGACATGATGAAGGATGCTCTCACTGTTTACTTTTCATGTGTCTGGTGTACAAATCTGAAGTAAAAGATTCTGCATGTCACCAATGGAAATCCAGGTTTTTAAATTAATCTGGACAAAAAAAAAGGTAGTAATATACCTCTCTAGTTAACCCAAGTGTTCAACTTCATTTTGGCAGTGCTTACTAGATCATGACCTCCCATGGTTAGCCTCCTTGGGCATCCCGGTGTCCTTGGCAGCAGATGCAGTCTCATCTCTGGACCACGATACTTGCATGTAGGAAGGAAGATGTTCAATGTCTGTCGACTTTTTTCAAGAAGCTTTCCTGGCTTTGTGCCTTTCTGTTCTAGAACATTTTATCCTCACTACATGAAGTTATGTGTCCTAGGGCATTCATATCCCATAGAGTCTTCATGTTCTGTCAAAGGCAAAGGGAGCACAGCTCTTTTTTTGGCCTTAAGCAGATTGTTTATTCAGACATGTGTTATTTCAGAACTATGTTGGGCTATGTGTAGTAGTAATTCCTAGTGCTGTAGTACTCTTATTGTAATGTTTTTGAACAGTCACTTTTCAGGGTTTTTCAGATAATCCAGTAGTGGATGCTGTTCTTTAAGATTTTTCAATGTACCTCTTTTCTTTCCAGTTTTGACAACATACGTTTCCAATAGCAAGCATATATAAGATTAAATTTTGATGGAAAAGTGTTTACTATATATATTGATTGCAGCAATTTTATCCTTTACTTGAATCTAACTAGGCTTTTATCCTTACTCCTCGCTGGAGTGCACGTCTCTTGAATTCCTCCAATTTTTGCTCATTTTCTCTTGCTGACCTTTTGTCCATTTCTTCCACTATCATTCTTGCTTCAAGTGATGGCAGCCAGACATTCGTGTGTGGAGTGTTTAGAAATTGATTTGTTCTCATCTTGCACATGTATGGGGAGAATTCAGTGGGTGGAAAGCCACATGGACTGTTTCATAGAAGAATTAGGGGGTGAAACAATTACTGGAGCTTCTAGAGGGTTGTCCTGCCTTCTGCCTTAATTGTATGAAAACCCCTTCTGAAAGTGAAGGAATTGCTTTTAATCCTTCTTCTAGTTCTCTCTAGACACTGAATTCTTTTGATTGTAATGTTATAATGCTTGTCTCCATTTTTTTTCTGTCCAGGCCAAAATTTTACATCTGTGCGTTTTTATTTACTTTTGATAGGACAACTTGCGAATAACCGGTGATTTTAGTACCTTCATTTGTTGAAGCAAGATGGATGGCTACATCTCTGTCCACTCAGCCTGAAGTGCTTTAGTCAGCCTAAAATAATATTTGTTTTAATGGTTGTATTCAAGTAATTGAAGAAGGAAGAATTTGTATATAGTGCTTAAAAATAGTTCTGTCAGTAGTAACCTGAACCTGAGTAGGAAGGAATATGTAACTTGGAAAGATGCAATTTCTGATTCAATGTTCTTTCTCTTGTGTACATTACTGTTATCAGCCATGTTGAAAAATACAAAGGAGACCAAAGCAAACCTAGAGAAGTTCCTTTCAAAGCTGGGAGTGGTTTCTTCTCTTTTCTGGATAGCTGTTATACTTGGAGGACAGGACAGGTTCTGTTGAGGGCTCCCTAACAAAAAGGGGTGGAAGAAACAAAAACATTGGCAACAAAGCAGCTGTGATGAGCCCCATGGGCTGGCTTAGGAACACACACAAGGCAAGATGTTGCAGAAAAAAGTAATGGGCAGATAATTTTCTAATGATGCGTTGTCCTTCCATGCAGTGGTTTTGGTGTAATTTTTGACAATATTGAAAAGCCGCTACACTATTCAATGTAATTTGCAGGCTTAAGGGAGGCCCAGCACTGGAACAGCACTCATTCAGAGGATTTGGATCAAGGTAGATTGGCATGGAGTAATAATAAACTTATGTCAATGTCAGAGGTGCAATATTACTTAATATTTCTTTCTTTTAGAACCTTTGGCACCACTGTTCCATTTTAGTGCCAGTAAAGTTGGGTATGCTGTTTTAATAGCCTTGTTTAACCTGGCAAAGCTAGTCTTACACCTCATATCTGTCAGTTTAGCATGCAGAGGGGCAGACCTCAGAAATCTTTATGTATTTCTTACCAGAATGTGCAAGTTCTATGAATATGGCCAAGTTGTAGGCTGAAGGGAAGAAGTGCTGAACTGGATGCTGATTCTTTTCGTGTCCCTTTTTGCTCCCAAGTTTTTTCTTTCATACAGTGGCTATACCTGGTGTGTTTTGTCCTCTAGGAATCTGTAGGTATTTTAAGAAACAATTACATGCTATGATGTATGAGTCTCAGTGTTGAAAACAGTAGCTGTTGAGATAAGAACAGTGTAGAGGATGTAGACCTGGATCATATTAGGACAATAGCCTCTGGAAATTCTTTTGTGGGGACTTACTATAAAAGAACAGCATGTAAAGGGGACTAATAGAATATTCTACTTTGACTTGCAACATAACTTTTAATGTAAAATGTTACAGTTCGATCTTTAATAGTTTAAGCTTTGTGATTGATGAAGTGCTACATGACTGAGGGCCCTAACCTAGCAGCCAATTAGCGTTTGTAGGAAATGTCATAAAGTCTTAGCTCTCATGTAATAATTGGAATCTGTACTTGGGGTGGTTGGACTGTGCACACTAGGTGATATTGTCCAGTTTATGTTAAATTAAAATGTGTTGTGCAATTAATTGTATGCATTACTGTTAGCTGTCTTCTGAAAAAGAGGAAATTTACATATAGTCAGATTAGGAATATAGTGATGTAAGCAAATGATGATGTCCTACTCTTGTGCTTAGAAATTTGCATCAGTATTATTGGTTGATGCAGGAATTCTGGCTAAGAACACTGCTGAAATTGAAACTTCTGAATCCAGATTTGTCCAGGAAG